CGACGGCTCCACACCTGTCATGCATGCCTGTTACGCAGGCGCTGCAGACATTGTGTCCTTGCTGCTGCAGATTGGTGCAAAGACAAACCCAGCCGACAACGATGGCCTTACAGCTCTCATGCTTGCATGTCGGGGCGGTTTTGCTGACATAGTGCGCTTGCTGCTCGAAGCTGGCGCTGAGAAGGAAGCAGCTGACAGGCGCGGCAACACTGCTCTTCTTGCTGCAGCGGAATATGGTTTTGGGAACGTCGTTTCCTTGTTGCTGGCTGCTGGCGCCAACAAGGACGTGAAGGATGCGGATGGCGCGACGGCTTTAATAAAGGCATGCTATCACAGAACATTCCCCGTCATCCAGGTGCTACTGGCTAATGGTGCTGACAAAGACCTGGCTGATAATCGTGGCGTTACAGCCCTCATGTGCGCGTCGGCAAATGGTCGACATGGAATCGTCAGCCTTTTGTTGGATGCAGCAGCAAAGACAGACGTAGTTGATATCGGAGGATGCACAGCTCTATTTCATGCGTGTGGCAGTAACCGCAAGGGAACTGTGCAAAAGCTACTCGAAGCTGGTGCTGACACGGAGTTGCCAGACCAGCACGGTCAGACACCTCTGATTCTCGCAGCGAAGTTGCACCTTGTCGAGATGTTACATTTGCTACTGCGAGCCGGTGCTAGCGCCGATACGATGGACGAGCAGAGCTTGACAGCGCTCATGTACGCGTCTGCGCATGGGCACCTTGAAAGTGTGCGGATGCTCCTCAAGGCCAAAGCCAACCCCGACCTGGTGGACAGCGTGGGCCGGACGGCCCTGACCATCGCCTGCGACGACGGCCGGTCGTTTGTGGCACAGCTTCTCGTCCAGGCCGCGGCCAACCTGGACCTTGTGGATGCGGAAGGCCGCACTGCTTTGATGGCCGCGGCCAGCGTCGGGAGCTGGGACGCTGCTCGGGCCCTCGTGGAGGCTCGGACAAATCTTGATTTGGCGGATGCGCAGGGACGAACAGCAATCATGCACGCCTCGCAAAGGAATCACTCGAGTATCGTGCAGCTGTTGTCGCAAAGCGTTCGGTGAAACGACCCGGACAAGGAAAAGTTGCACAGCGCCTCCTCGATCCTCCAGTCCGTGCCAGTGCACCGACTCGTGCGGGATTTGGCACCGGCAACGTGACACGGCTCCCCCAGCAAAGTCGCAAAAGGGGTGCTCATGTTGATTCAGCATATTGGTTTCTGAGCAGGGTCTCCAGATTGTGTCGTGCTTAGAATGGAAAACTCCCTCTTGAGTGAATAAAATCCTTGTCATGTATTGCGGCAGTGCTTGGCATGCTGGTTTGCAAGAGACCAGAGATCCCAACCTCGTTCATGGCAGTATTTGAGGGTCCGGGGAATTCGGCAACAAAGCAGCAACCAGGTTTCCAAAGCCTTTAGTGTAGAGTAAACTTTGAGTGGCCTATGATGTGCCCAAATAGTGTATACTTTGGCCTTAGAAGTGGTCCCTATATAGGTATCTTGGGACCAATGTATATACCTAAACCCTAAACCCTAAACCCTATACTAGCTGAGCATATGGATTCTTATTCTTAGGGTTTCCCAAGCCGCCGCAAATCCAAACAGAACGGCGGCAGCGGTATCGAAGCGGCAGCCGCTGCGGCAGCTGCACTAGGTGCCGCATTGAAGGCGCGACATCAAGACCAGCGTACCCATATATGAACCCAAAAAAGGAACTACTTTAGGGCCTATGGGTAGTAGGTTTGTCTAGACGTTTGGATTTCCGTAGGGGTCCTGTATCAGGTTGCGAAGTTGTGTTGGTTTTCGGGTGTGTCTGAGTGTATCCTGCGCCGTTCATCGAAAATACTGCTGGATCCATTTGCGTTTCGTTTCGGGGCGCCATACTGTGCACAATAATCGACCGTCCTTTGCACGGTTACTTTGTGCCTGTCTTTTCGTGCACCCAGACAGCATCCCGCAGGCAGGGACGTGGGTCGGGAGAATTAGCAAGTAGGTAATAAATATATTTTATGCGCACCTTATGAGGGATTCTAATTGGGGTTACAATACTTGTAAGTAAGTCTATGGAATTTAGCTACTTTCTATATCCCTCGACGCTCCAAGTAGTTCCAACTCCTGCAAAGTATCTCTGCCACTGCATCTCGGTTCGGCGCCTCGTGATCGTACTATATCTGGAGGGCTGAGGGGTGTTGCTCACTGGATTGGCAGTTTTCTGCATGAGGGTCACGGTCCCTTTCTGGAGGTCTCTCATCATGCACACCTTTTTGGGGCTTATCTATAACACTATCCACCTTAAGCCCGATAAGCCCTCATGCCTTTCCCTATGTGCTTTAGACAGACAGAGAGGCAAGCATGACCGGCGGACCCGTTGATGCTGACGAGTGCCTGAAGGTCGCACAGAAAGAGGCCGACAATGAGTTGGGATACGGAGGTGTCGTTTTCTGGCGGATTTGGAGACTACAAAATCCGCACATGTTTGATTGCTGTTTCTTCAGCACGTGTGTCGGGCTTAGTATGGACGTCCAACGGTTGGACTTTACCCTGAACTCTGAACATATGCGGCGCTGCTGAGTTATAGGTTTTTAGTGCAGAAAGTTTGGGGTTCGGGATTTAGGTGAAGGGCTGGGGGTCCGGTGCAGGAGCCTCACAGCCAAAGTTCAGAATTTAACTTGGTGGGTTGTGTGCAGCCTCCGTCGTATCGACTTGGTTCTTGCGCCTTCTACGAAGATCCTGTGATAAGCTGCCCTTATGAGCCCTATTAGCTGCCAGCAAGTCTGGCCAAACGAGCCTTGCGTTTGCTTGAACACTTCGGTTGAAAGAGATCCGTACCACCACGCTCTGCAGGTTGCGGACACTGTGATAGTTATTTGGCGCACTTTCGGGGGATACAGTTTTTCTGGACCGTGCAGGTTTACAGCCTCGGGCTTCTGGCACTTCAGCGGGCGTAATGATGAGGCGATGTAATTACGTGGCATTGCCATGGGCGTTTGTATGAATGGGATGAGGAAGACGCTGGTGGTCACGGTGGTTGATGACGATGGAAACGATGGTGTTTGAGGATCAAGATGTTAGAAGACGCGGCTTAACCAAGAACCTGGTTACTGCATGCAGAAATATTACTAAACCCTACCGAGGGCACATGTTCAGTTAAGGAAAAGCGGCCAGGAGCAGATGTCCAAGGTTTGCAGCCGGGACGTTTGTATTGCATGATGACGTGAGGAAAACAACTGCATGATCGTCTCTCGGTTGTTGACTAGAACTAGAAAAATTCAAGCTTGGAGGTTCATGCACACATGCCTTTGAGTAGAGTAACAAGTACGGCAAGTGTCGACCCGAGCCTGACCCCGAAGCATAGGCCACAGCAAACCCTCAAAACATACGGGAAACATGTCAGTATGTCGGCGCTATTTCCGGATTGGGCCTCCCTTGAAGGTGCATGTCTTTTCAGGCAATAGCATTGAGGGATGCGTACTCGGCCACAGTGTCGCTGCTTTTTTGCAGCATGTCCTGCGGTATTGCTAATGTTACATCCTGGTGCTGGTAGCAGCGGTTGCATACTGGCCATGGACCAATACGGACCATTAAAAGGCACCGGCCATCGCTGTGGCTATTATTTAAGATCTTGCAGCTCGCAGTCGCCGCTATTGTCAAAAATTACTGTACTGGGTCTCGCCGACAAGACCCAAGTTTTCCTTTGAACAACTCCATGGTTGCTACAGTCTGTGAGATGTGCAATAAGTGTGCAATAGTGTGCAGCTTCACTGTCGGACCGCGCGCAGGGACGGACACGCGATCGTTTATTACATATGCCGGGGGGCCGCATTTCGAGCATGTGTCGGAGAAGTTGAGTCCCTGGTCCCTGGTTGCGTTACACCGCGTTACACATGTTATCAGCTTAATGCTACAACGCCTGTGGCAAATGCCTATACCTAGGAGGATCCTCGACATCGAGTCCCACAGTTGGGATATTTGCTTTTGGAGGATCGGTTTGTTTTCGTAGGTGAGGAAACAGACTTGAGACCCTGCTGCAGGTGTATGGGTCCGAAGCCCGTCATTTCTCAATCCAGCATCACGCCCAAATAAGAATACTACTACTGCTACTACTGCTACTGCTATACTGATACTGCTACTGCTACTACTACTACTACTACTGCGACTAGTGGCGCCTACCATTACTACCCCTGCTAGACACATGTCATTGTCGTGCAACAATGATATCGGGGATGCGAATGATTATAGCATGAAATATTTTATTACACTATGTTGTATTGTATCTTATTATACTATACTATCTTATATTATCTTTCGCCATATTCATTATATTGTATATGTTCATTACAAATGTAATATATATATATATA